GGACCTTGTAGCAGCCTGTGTAGCTTCCTGTGCCCCCCCCCCCCACTTTTATATGGAGACTCTGGCTTTGGTTCATTGACTTCAGCAATCTGACATGTGGTCCATTAACTCTACTGTGTTTGGTGACATCTATGTAATATTCGGTGATCCATCAGTCGGTAACTCGGGAATCAGTTTGCATGGCCGCTGTTGTAAGAAAACAGAAACAAAGAGAGAGTGAGAGAAAGAGAAAGTAATGGGGTAATCCACGGACAGAATGCGAACACTGTGTCTTTAGCCCTGAGTGGTTTTTACGCTTGGACATTATCCCCCATCATTGGCCTTTTACCAAAGCTCTTCTGCTGAGTTACAAGGGCTGTTAAATATGAAGCATGTTTTAAAACGAGACCTATCTCGGCCTGCTCAGCTCAGTCGCCGGGCGGTTTTGCTGTCAAGGCGAGAAGCCCCCAGTGAGCGACGTTTGTGTTTAACGGCACCTTTTAAAATTTGGAAGCAAGGACAGGTGAGAAAGCCAAAAAACGGGTAAGAGAAGTGGCTCATGAAATGAGGTTGCAAAGTGATTGATACGCAAACGAGGGGAAGTGAAAGCAGGTGCTCGAAGGCACAGAGAGAAGGTGCGGGATTATTTACGGGCATCTGAAATTTTGTGGAGATTTCCAGTTTTCGCCCCAAATTCTGCATTCAGATTCATCATTCCAATTTGAGTGCTTTGGAGCGGTGCGGAGATATGAAAGGGGTCGGTGAGGCTGATGATGTAGAGGATTGCTTGTTGTTTTCCTCAGTTTTTATGGCCGCTTTGTGTGTGGTCGGATTTTAAATTGATTTAACCTGCCTGAAAGGTAGGATCAAAATGGAATTCTATGGAAGAAAGGCAGGGTGTAAACATATTCTGCAAAATAAAGCAAAGGGATAGAATGATTGCTGATGATGAAGATAATAGTAAAGACAGAGTTGATTTTGTAGTAAATGGGGACAGGTGCTTTCTTAATTGCTCTGCAGTTCGTACTGCTGCACATCTGTTGCCATGGCATGGGTAAGACCATGTTGCTTGTCCCATCAAGTCCAGTGAGATTTCTTCAAGACAGGACTGCATCCTTAGTATGTTGTCTTCAGTACATATACCGTGATGTCGTCACCCAAATGTGTTCAGTGCTTGGGCAAGCCAACTCTGGTTTTGCCCAAATGAAAGAAACCTTTTTTTCTCTCTCTCTGATCTAGCTGGGAGTGGGAGAGCCAGTCTGGTGTGGCGGTTAGGAATGTTGGTCTAGGGCTGGAGAGGTGATGGTGGAAAAGGTCTTTGAGTTGTAGCTGACGTACGGCAAACCCATAGTGTTTTCAAGGCAACGGACATTTAGAGGTGGTTCGCCATTGTCTCTCCCTGACTAGAGACTCCGGTCTTCCTTGGCATCCAAGTACTGACTAGGGCCAATCCTTCTTATCTTCTGAGAGCTGATGAGATTGGCCGAGCCTGGGCAATTCAGATCGGGGCTGGAGAGACCTGGGTTGAAATCTTTACTGGCCATAAAGGTCAATTTCTCAGCCTAACCTACCTGACAAGGTAGTTGTGAGGATAAAAAGGAGGAAGGGAGGAGCCTGTAAACCACACCGAGCTCCTCAGAGGAATATTGGGATGAACATGCATGAAATAAGGACCACAGCTACCCATTCTGCCCACATAGTGGAACAAGGAAGTGTATCTTGCAAATTAGGAGACAGTGCTGGAATGCAAACCTTCCCACAGGCATCGTATCACCTGAGCATTGTGCATGTGGAGCCAGTTCACATGTGCATATTCAACACTCAGTAATGGCAGTGGAGACTTGCATGTGTGACTATCATTGATGCAACACCGCAGAGCAGAATTTTATTATCTTTTCAAGCAGAGTGCTGTTCCATGGTGCCTTTTCACATGTTCATGTGCCACTCATCAAGTGTACAGGAATCAAGGGTGGAGAAGTCAGTTCGAGTGCGTGCACGTGCGGAACAGAGTTTGCTGACTGGCAGCCAAATATGTGAACTGACGTCTCCTGGGAAAATTATATGTTTGCGAAGACAGGAAAGGACTACTGTGGTGCAATGGCCTATTCACACAGGGAAGTGTGCAAATCTGCATGTGTAACTGGGCTCTTGGTGTAAGACAGTCCCATGTCTGCTGAGGAGTAATGGCCTGGCAACCAGCAGGGACTTGAGTGGAGGGAACAGGGGACACTGATATTGTGTATGCCATTACGTCACTTCCTAGAAAAACCAAAAATGATGCCATGGCACTCCAGGAATCACTAGGATCTCTATGGTAAAACCATAGAGTTCCCAGCAATTCCTAAAGGAACGTGACATTATTTCCAGGTTTCCTCAGGAAGTGATGTCACACATTGTGCCTGCTGTTTTTTTCTTTCTTTGTTTTAATTCTCTTGCTTGAAGCATCCGTAAACCTGACATTTCATATTGCTGAGAACAGACTTTGGAAACCTGGCAGCTTCTTCTTGTCCATTTCCATGTATATTTGAGACTCTTTCAGTGTGTCTGCTGTAACATCTCACGTTATTTACTGAGATGCTATGAGGCATTCTTTTATTACCTCTGCTTAATCCAGGTCTGCAACATTGGGAAGCCAAGTCCTTCCCCCCGCCCCTGGTTGTATACTGTGGGCTGCCAAGGGCTTGAAGCCCCAGGCAGGGAGCCAGGACAGAAGGTTTACCTTATGTGGCTTTCCAACCTACACAGCGCAGGCGGCTGTGGTTCTGCAACATGTTTTCTGTCCATTTAAGAATCAAGAATGACACACAGAAAGCTACATGACCCTGAAAGACATTGCATGGAACAACTTGAACTAGGGTTGCCAAATGAAAAAATCCTACCGGCAGGGAAGCGTCCTGCTGCTCCGGGAGCCGGTCGAGATCGTGCGCGTGCGCGCGCATCGCCAGAGCGTCACCGGAAGTGACGTCACACGCTGGGCGGGGCCATGCCATTTGAGGGGAAAACTCTTTATTTCCCCTCAAATGGGGTGGCCCCGCCCCCAGCGTGCGATGTCACTTCCGGTGACGCGCACGCTGGGGCGGGGTTCCCCCCGGGCCCCAATTCCCTGGCGTTTGGGAACGGAGCCTCCGGGGCGGGGGATTTCCGCCCTACCGGGGGAGTTGGCAGCCCTAACTTGAACTGTCAAAGTCAGTGCACTCTGTGGAATAGAAGTATGTAAACAGCTCACTGTGATGTATGAGCCAGTTTGGGGCAGTGGTTAAGTGCGTGGACTCTAATCTGGGAGAACCGGGTTTGATTCCCCACTCCTCCACTTGCACCTGGCTGGATGACCTTGGGCAAGCCGTAGTTGTGACAAGAGCTGTTCTTGAAAAAGAGCAGTTTCTGTCAAGAGCTCTCTCAGCCCCACCTACCTCACGGGGTGTCTGTTGTGGGGAGGGGAAGGGAAAGGAGTTTGTCAGCCGCTCTGAGACACCTTTGGGTAGTGAAGGGCGGGGTATAAATCCAATCTCTTCTTCTTCTTCTTTTACCTCACAGGGTATCTGTTGTGGGGAGGGGGAAGGGAAAGGAGTCTGTAAGCCACTCTGAGACACCTTTGGGTAGTGAAGGGCAGCATATAAATCCAATCTCCTCCTCCTCCTCCTCCTCCTTCTTCTTCGGCCAGTGTGGTGTCGTGGTGAGAGTCTAGGGTCTGAGAGGCCCAGATTCAAATCCCTACTCTGCCACAGGAACTTGCTAGGTGACTTTGGGTCAGTCACAAACTCTCAGCCTCACCTGTGTTCGGGTTGAGAACTCCAGCTTGGGGGATTCATAGAGATTTGGGAGTGGAGTCTGGGGAGGGCGCTCAGCAGGGGTGTGATGCCACAGAGCTGCCATTTTGCCGAGGGGAACTGATCCTTGTAGTCTGAAGTTGTAATGCCGGGAGAGCTCCAGGCCGCACGTGGAGGCTGGCAGCCCTACCTCATGAGGGGGGTGTTGTGAGCAGTCCTCCCTCTAAGCTGAGTTAGTGCAACCTCTTCTCTACTCAGACTGGCAATGGCTCTCCAGAGCCCGAGGTAGAGGTCTTTCACATCACCTGCTAGCTGAATCCTTACAACTGGAGATCCATGTTCCCTCTAAGCTGAGTTAGTGTGAGCTAGCTCACAGTTTTTTAGCCTCCAGCTCACACATTTTTTTCTCTCCGCTCAGGAAGGATGGCTCCAGAGCAAATGAATTTATGCCGTAGCCAAATCGCTCGCTCACAACTTTAATGCCAGCAGCTCGCAGAGTAGAATTTTTGCTCACAAGTTCACAAAGTGGAATTTTTCCTCACAAGACTCCACAGCTTAGAGGGAGCATTGGTTGTGAGGGTAAAACAGAGGAGGGAGAATAGGGTTGCTTGGTCCCCTCATCGCTCTGGAGGGGGGGATTTGGGGGGGTGTTCCGAGGGTGGTCGGGGATGCCCCATGCCCCACCCCCAAGAGCGACCACCTGCCTGACTTAATTTTGCAAAGAAGTACCAATATGCAAGTAAACTTCCGTGAACTTTCAGAGAACTTAGATCTGGATGTCAGCCAGGCCTGTGCCTCAAGAATTTAAGAGGGTGGAGGTTTTGGGATGACCAAGGGAAGAGAGAAAATCCCGTTTGAAGATGGTTCCTAGGTGCCGAAGGGGGTAACTTAACAAGAGCTTGAAGCTGTGTGATGCTGAGATAATTGATATCCTTTCTTTGGAAAACCTCCAGAATGGATCTGAGGGTTGAGGTTACAATCTGAGATGGAACCGGATGCCTGGAGTGCAGCCCTGGGAACCAGGTAAAGTGCTGCTGTCGTATCCCTCCTGGGAGAACCCAGGCACTCTGGCTCCCCCCAAAAAGAAATTGCTGCTGGCAGCAAGGCTAAAAAGAGGTGAGAGTGAAAGAGAGGAGGCAAAAAAGTCAGAAAGAAAATAATGGGTGTAAAGGCACCTTTCTTTTTTTTTCGTGTGTTTTTGCTGATGGTGATAATCTCCATCCCCTTCCTTCCTTTGTTTCTCTTTGAACACAGGTGCCTCGTGGACAATCGGGTCACCCGTGTGGCCTGGCTCAATCGCAGCAGTATCCTTTTCGCGGGCAATGACAAGTGGTGCCTGGACCCCCGAGTGGAGCTGGTCACCAACACCCAGACCCAGTATGTCATCCAGATCAAGGACGTGGACGTCTATGACGAGGGGCCCTACACCTGCTCCGTGCAAACAGACAATCACCCCAAAACGTTGCGGGTCCATCTTATAGTGCAAGGTAAGGCTCGAGATAGGGAGCATATCGGGCCCCGAGGCCTGGAGTGGTGGATGTGTCATAGAGCCTGCCGAAAAGTAATTGATGGATTCAAGTCGAAAGTAACATGTGCTATTCAGCCTGCCCAGCAACTGCTATTCAGCCTTTGTTATCCCCTTGGAGCCCCAACTGGTACAGCCCTCCCTTCCGCACAATTCTTAAAGGCAATGCAGTGATGTTGCTGCTGGTACACCAACATAACTTCCAGCGCAACCGGAAGGACCAGCATTTTGGGCTGCATTTGGGACCGAAGCAGGAGGAGATCACACTTCCACTACCGGAAATCCCTCCATCTGTGGAAATCTTTGATGGAAAGTAACTAGGGTTGCCAACGCTGGGCTAGGAAATTCCTGGAGGTTTGGGGGTACAGCCTGGGGAAGGCAGGGTTTGGGGAGGGTATGCCCCAACTCCATCCCCAAAAGCCACCATTTACTCCAAGGTGACTTGTCTCTGCAGTCTGGAGATCGTTTAGATGCCAGTCCAGTAGCACATTAAGGGGCTACGGTGGCTCAGAGGTTAAGAAGCTGAGCTGCAGACTGGGAGATCTGTCATTCGGCAGTTCGAGACCCAAGTGCCGCATGACGGAGTGAGCCCCCGTCTCTGGTCCCAGCTCCTGCCAACCTAGCAGTTCGAATGCAATAAATTGCAAGTAGAAAAATAGGCACCACTTTGGTGGGAAGCTGATAGTGTTCTGTGCGCCTTGGCGTTTAGTCATGCCGCCTACATGACCAAGGAAATGTCTTCAGACAGCGCTGGCTCTTCGGCTTGGAAACGGAGATGAGCACCGCATCCCTAGAGTCAGGTTCAACTGGCTTTACCTTTCCCTTACCAGTAGCACATTTGAGCAGAGGTCATTTCGGGGGGGATCGCGGGGGATCGCAGTTCCCCCAGGTGAGGTACGGGGGCGGGGCACATGACGAAGCCCCGCCCCCTGCTTCCAGCCGCCCCGCTTCCGGCCCTCATTCAGCCAGGAGGAGGCAGGAGAAGAGGGAGGGTAAGTTGCTTCCTGCCTGCCTCTCCCCACCCCTGCCTGTCTGGGGCCAGGGAGGGCCTTCGCGGTATGCTAATGAGTTATGCTAATGAGTTCCGCTAGCTCTTTTTCTACGAAACGACCCCTGCATTAGAGGGCTACAAGATCTTCAGAGTGTACGTTTTTGAGAGTCAGCGCTCCCTTTGTGAGACACGAAGAGGGCATTTGTCATTCTGGTGCATCTTCAGGCCTCACCTGGAGGTTGGCAACCCTTGACCCACCCCATCCTTTGGGCCTCCTCCCCACAAATCCATCTGAACTTTGCTTATGAACTCCTGATAGATGTACACGAGTGGTGGCACTTCCCACAGCTGCCAAAGGAGCCTGCAGACGGCGCCGTGATGCGAGCGAAATGCGGCAGTCTTAGAACCGCGGCAGACTGCTGAGCCAGGATTAATGCAGGGGGGAGGAAAAGGCACCATATTCTAATCCCTCTGCCGTCAGCCATCTCACTAGGAGTTGGCTGGAAGCTCTCTTAGACTGACACACCAGCTTGACTATTGGAATCTCATCTCGGGCTAATTTTCGAATGCTGATGGGGGTATTGATTTGGAAACAAGCTGGGTTAAGAAAGGCATTGGTCTTGTACACCAAGTCGGTCTGAGCTAATCCGCTGTCGATATGCCCGGCCTGAGTGTTATTGACAGACTAATGAATACAGGGCCGAAAAAAATTCCAAGACTCTTTTTCTCTTCTTTTTCTTCCCCCGAAAGCAATCAAGAAAACTAGATAGAGCTAGACTTTTTTCCCCCTCCCTCACCATCTCCATTACCTGTGAAACAAAAAAAAAGAAAAAAAAAGATTAAAAATGGGATTTGGGGGGGATTCATTATTAGCCCAGGCATTCTGTTTATCTTGCAAACTCTTATTACCTGTCCACATTTTTTAAATCAAAGGTGATCACGCACACACAAAATGTTGAAACTGCTCTCAGGAAGTCGAGGGGGCGTAATTATATTGAATCCATCCTCGTGCTTGTGCCTGGACTCCTGACTCACATTCTTGATGTCCTCCAGTATTTAAAATCAATCCTACACATTTGCTGGTGTGTGTGTGTGAGATGTTAAAGCAAAATATCAGGTTCTCACCAGAGAGCAAATCATTTCTGTCCATGAAAGCTTAACACGATGTTCTTTTAAGGTAGCTTACACCCTGTCATCCAAACTCAAGGTCTCTTTCTAATGGTCTTTGAAGTTAATTGGAGTTGGGAGTATTCAGAATCTTGTAGGATTTAGGAAAGTATCTTTTTCATATATATAAATAGGCCCAGTTGGTGAATGGCTGCCGTCTGTGACTTGTAACACAACATGAAGCAACACTATGCAGTTTATTATTTCCCCCCTATAATGTCTGTTGTCGTTGTTATTGTTGTTATTTACTCTAAGATTGCAATGGCCTTTGGCTGTCAACAATAAATAAACCTGAACATGCGGTTTATTGTGATGGGATGCAAAATAATTTTATGTAAACCCTCCAGTGGTGGATGAAAACAGAGATATTGTATGCCTTGCAGCGCTCCTTTTCTCTTGCCAACAATCACTTCCTGTTCGATTGCTGAAGGTTTCTCTTCTTTCTCTGTGTTGTGTTCATTCATGCTTCAAGAGCCTGTCCCCTAGACTGAACCCACACAGTTGTTTTGCTCTGCCTTTGCTTCCAAATTGGAGCACCTGTTTAAAAACATCTACACCACATCAGTTTCCAGTGGCCCACTTTTCAGGTTTTCTCCTGCTTGTTTTTGAAAGAAACTAGTCCAAGTGCATTTGCATGCTGCCTAGATGAGAAAGTACACATTTACAAAAGTTACATCAGCACCGTTTTCCTACTGTTGGCCTGCATGAGGGCTTTTTGAAGGGTTTAGAAAAATCAGTGATTGCTATGGAGCTATGGCACAGTAACATCTATTGCTGAGATCTGCAGTTTCCTCTGAATTCCCAGGTCCCATTTTTTCCCTTAAAAGTATATATCGAGTTTGTTGCAGAGATATAAGAGGAAAGGTGCAGTTAGGTGTTGCCCAGTTTGACTAGAAATGAATGGGGAGGGGAAGGCGCAGGATGGCTGAAGCGAGGCAGCAATTCACTGTTCAGACGATCACATTAACTCTATGTTGCTGCAGGTGCATCCATTTACAGTGGCAATGAAAGTAACGTGTAGAATCCTCACTGTGGATGTGGAAACAGTACTATCAGTGTCTCGAATCAAGGTGAATTGGGGTCAGACTAGACCATACAGGATGCTTCACTTGTATGTATCCATGTTGTAACATACAAACATAGTGCTGGAAGGGCCCTCAAGGGTTATCTCGTCCAACCCCCTGCACAGTACTAGCAATTTACAACTACTTCCCCCCACTCCCATCGTGACCCCTACTCTATGCCCAGAGGGAGGCAAAAAACAAACAAACAAAAACCCTCCAGGATCCCTGGGCCAACCTGACCTGGAGAAAGATTCCTTCTTGACATCAGATTGGCAATTGGCATTACCCTAGGCAATTCCGCAGGGCCTGTAAGACGGAGCTCTTCCGCCAGGCCTTCGGTTGAGGCAATGGACGTCTTTATATGGCCTCCCTGAGGTGGTTGTCACCCACCCACCTATCAAACCAAATAATATGCCAGGGAACCCCCACAGCCAGCTGATTTGTTAGACAGGTGACTGTGTCTTAATGTTTATTATTTTCAAATTGTTTAAATTGTTTGATTTTAACTGTATGCTTTATGATGTTACCTGCCCTGAGCCCGCTCGCGGGAATGGGGGGGCTATACATACAAATAATTGTCAGCAAGCTGCCAATATGTTCCCATGTTCCCTGTGTATGCTCTTGGAGTTCAACTAGTGTCTGTGTATGGTCGTCGGTATCTCTATTCTCTTGGTATGCGCTTGTTTGCTTTCACTTTCCCATGTATGCCTGTTTATGCGCTTAATTGCATAGTTGCCGGAATGTCCGTATCTCTCAAGACCGCAGGTGGTTGCTGGAGGGTAGTAGCTCGAATGATCTCATGGTGTTATCCATGGGAAGCAGTATGTTATGCTTAAGTGGGAGCGTTGCTTCCCAGGCTCAATGGCGCGCTGGGGAAGTGCCGCAATTGGGCCTCAGCTTTTTAAATTTCCTATAATCTATTGGGATCCAGGCTTATGCCTCATTCTGAACAGTGATCCTGTTATGCACCTATTGCTTCAAATAAACGCAAAACCTTTCTACAAGTGTGTGCTTCGTTGATGCGATGGGAGTCTGACTATAATAAGATAAAATAAATATTTTAACCATAGAGTTTTGGCCCAAATGCCAGTGTGCCACCACAACATCACAATGTGACGACATCACTTCCGACATCCCTACCAGTTGCCAAAGGGAACCTGGCAACCCTATATGCCAGGAATATCAGAAAATAGGGACAGACCGCTAGTAAACAGGAGCAGTTGGACACTGTTGAGTCGGGTCCAAATTTTCAAGCTATGTTGCTATATTCTGTATTAGATGTGTCAGAAAGGGTTAAAAATGGTCCCCCGGGGTACTGGGAGTAGGACCACAAGGGTTTGTGAACAGGTGCAGGCAGGGAAACAATTCTAGGAAGACCAGCAGAGAAGCAGAACTGTCTATCACCAACCAGACTGAGAAGCAAGAGTCGCATAGTGTTACGGAAATCGTGCCCTGCCAGCTTATTATTTTGGGGTGTCCAATGAGAAAATGAATGTAAAACAGTGAAGCAAACGACAGAGCAGCTACCGCTCTCGAGGACAGAGACTGTATAAAGGAAACACTGGAGGAAATGGGAAACAAAGATTTGAGTGGCACCGCACCGCAAATGGAGCAGATAAGAAATAGGAGAGACTTGAGTCAGCATTTCTTCAGTGGCAAAGACTGAAGAGAGCTTCTGAGTCATAAATCTGAAGTGTGCTGGGCCGCTGGGAAGTGTTAAATATGAATGAATGGCACGCT